CAGACCCATCGCTTTGCTTCCATGCTGTACGATTTTGTCGCTAGATTCTTACAAGGGTGCGCCCTATGAGGTATGGGATACAGTGCTGTGTGTCGTGTCTCGCACCACTTCCATTGCTTTCATGCGTACTAGCAATGTGAACAAGACAGTAAGAGCTAAGCCGGTAAGCCCCAGCCAGTCGCTATTGTCAGGCAGCTTTAGTCGATGTGGTCACCTTCTTTTCTACTATTCATCGTTCACGACTTCAAACGGTTCAATTGGAGCACCACAAAGTGATCGCTTCCTGGGCCCAACTTGACGAGAGTGACTTGCAGTCAGCCTATTTATAAGTGCTTTTTTTACGTGATAGAAGGGGCACTCATGTCAGCAGATCTGGCGAGTGTGCACAGTGCCAGTGGGCTGTCACGTTTGAACGCTTCGACTGTCTTAATCTAGATCGAGCTACATGCCCCAGAGGATCTGATGAGTCCATTCCGAACAAACATTCTACTTTACAGAAGTCGTATTTTTGTCAAGCGTATATTTATAAGTCACGCTATTTTTGATAATTTATAATTACGCTCGACACGAATACGGCATCTCTGATGCGATTCGTTTCTACACCACTTCGCCGGCCATCCGTTGCGTTCCCCGCCGCCCTCAGCTCGTTGAATGTGCTGTCTGCACGTTGTTGTCGCTCGTCCAGCGCAGTGAAAGGCCCACTGACGTCAAGACCAGCGCGTCGATGTTGAACTAAAGGCGAGCGACCTGGACGAGTCGTTCGTCAAAGGTTCCGGTACGAAACCGGTATATACCGCTCGGTCTTGTTTGGAGCTGTTTTCGCGATCTAGTAGTAGGGGGAACAAATCTGGCACTGACAAATCTGGAGCTGACAAATCTGGCACTGACAAATCTGGAACTGTCTTCTATGAATAGGCAAGGGGGCCAGAAGATCAATAAGGTGCGCAACTGCGTGCTCTTGACGCACTTGCCAACGGGTTTGCAGGTGCGCACGCAAAAGACACGATCACTAGCGGACAACCGTCGCGTTGCTCGTCAATTGCTACTGCAGAAACTGGACGATCACGTCAACGGGTCGTTAAGTAAACACAATGAAAAAATTGCACAATTGCGTCGGAAAAAGGCGAATCGACGAGCTAAGGCCAAGCAAAAGTACGCCACTGCAACAACTGAAGGCGATGAGCAGGACATCGGAGACGACGCAGGAGAAGACGACAGCGACAGTGAGGACGAGTGCATTGAGTTAATCGAGAGTGCTGATATTGACAGTAAGGAGGGAGTGCAAGGAACAAAGCGTTGAAACGAAGCATAGCAATCGAGTTGCCAGAGTTTACACAGGGACAGAATGCCGCTACTGCTTTGACGCGGAGAGGTGACCAGTGGATCAACGTTAGTATTGCTCCACGGATACGTACTACTGCAAGCTGTCCACTTTCTGTCTTCTACTCTACGCTACTTTTCTATCTTTTTCGGGCTGCGAGCAACAAACACTTGCAACGTGGAATCGCACAGCACGCACGTCAGCGTTAGCACTCGAGTGCAACAGGGATTCGCTACTAGAGCTGTTAGTCGGTGTATGCTATTGTTGATGACGGTACATGTGATGTGCCAAACAATGTCGTACAAACACGTTGTTTTCTTGACATCGAATGGTCGAGTGCACGACGTTTTGAGACGGATCACTAAACATGAAACCAATTCGCCTCGAACAGCGCGCAAACACGACCTGCACAGTATGACGATGGCAAGACAAGCATTGACACCGAAGCTTATCAGAGTGTGAGCCCCATTTCTGTCAACTTTGCGTTGCACTGTGGTCGACAATGCAAAAAGCCTGGATGAGAAAGTCAGCTGACTTTGGTGCGAATTGCAAACCACGTTTGCCCATCGGCATGACCCGTAGATAGTCAGAGTAGGGACAGCAATAAGAGGACACCTTGTGATGAACGTTGCGACATTGGCTGTAGTCAGATAACGATGGAAGAATGGACAGTCCCAGGCACTGTACTGTCGATGCGAGGATGTCGCGTTTGCCGTGACAGGATACTGACGGTGCCGTAGTAGGCAGTGAGCTCATCATGCCTACAACAAGAGTCTCTCACAGCACCACACTAGTTGCAAAGTTCAAAGTGATAGTACAGGAGGTGACGATAGAAGACGCATTAGCTTGGCTTGGATCATTCTAGTTGATGAGCTAAACGGCTTATGAAACGCATCAGACTGGTCGCTTTTAGTGCAGTCATGGATCAAACCCGCAACTTGGGGGGAATGGGAGAAGTAGACTGAGTATCGATCGTGTATCATTTGTGGCTTCGCTTGATAAATGGTCTGCCATGCACAACCTTTCTCTCATCCGTACCGATACAACCCGGTGGTACGACTGACGAAGTCCCCGTGCTACGAAGTTACTGCCGCTCGATATTGGCGCTTCGACGGTCTGCTCTGTTGATGCTTCATCTCGCATCATACACGATACTGTGTCTGCAGATGCTCGAGAATATCGGTGACGAAGAACTTGCTGATATCGATGATAAGTCTCTTGACGATGTATTCATCATTGTGGCCCGTCTCCGTGACGTCGCGCGGTTTGCTAAATGCATGTTCAAGCGAGCCATTGATATAGCAAGGCTCTCGCTAAGTCCCATTGGAGCCATGATGCAGTCAACAAATCGTCTTCCTCTCTCACATGAGGAGCAAGCGTGATAGTGTATTCCAACTTGACCGGTCCTCTTTTCACTGCAACTGCATGCATGAGATTCAGTAGCACCCTGTCATGACATCACATTCACCGTTTTTCGTAGCAGCGATACCGCGGGTGATAAGCTCGATCGTTGAATTGGCGAAGGCCGTGGACAAAATCTGCCAGGTCCGACAGGTTTCTTCACACAAAACGTCGGTACTGAGAATGGTGCGTGTTGTTGGGGGAACATTGCCAGTCTTTATCATTTCTGCGTTTACTCTATGGTGACAGACTCACTACCTCGATTGAGCGCAAACAAGTATGTGGACAAGCTCGAGTTTCGATGACTCGATCACTGTCGTTGCGAACGGTGGCATCGGACTCAGTGATTCAGTCAAACAAAGCACCACGAAGCTCCTACAGCACACCCGATGTAGTATTGCCCTTCCCAGCGTCCCATTCTAGCTGCGTCAGTATTTCAGACTTCTGTATCTTCATATGCATGCGAAACAGTTGTGTCTTCGCGTAATTCGTCGGCGTACTGCTTCTCGGAGATGAAGTGTGTGCGAGTGAACGTGCTGTCAATAGAGAATATAAACTTCACGCTTTTGACGTCGTCCGACACGGCGACCACACGCTACGAAGCGAGTAGGATATGCTGTTGGCGTCTTTGTAATACGTAACGTTCTGTGTGCGACTCCAAATGCGGCGATGGCGCTATGTTCTCCACTCTGTTTCGGTGTTCGGATCATGTAGCGATGTCATACCAACAATAACGCATTTGTCATTCGGTATCGGCACCACCTGGAAGTTGGACGCCACTGCAGGACATCCAGACACTACCAACGTCATTGATGCTGTCCAAATGCACGACATGTCCGATGGACTCTCTGTCCATCCTAAGATCGACTCCGATCTTGTCGTTCCCATCTACTTGCACTATTAAGTCTAGCAAATCAGCTAAACTCACGGAGATGCCGCTACTGTGGTGATGAAGTCGGACGTATTCTTCTGCACTGCTGGCTCGCGGCAACCAAGCCTTGATCTTCAAGAACGTAGACTATCACCGAAGACGCCAGTGACATGAGTGATGGCCTCTTTCTTCAAACAACCTGACGTATCCTTCTGCTTGTAATTGCAGCAATCGCTACCTCCTTCCGGCCATTATTATCGTCCAGAACATCCTTCTTCTGCGAGAGCTCGTTGAAGCATGATGCCAGAGTGTACAATCTCGAGATTAGAGCGATCTGGGTTGTCCCATCGATAGTACGCAGACTTTTACGTTGTTCCTAGCTGATGTCTCATTGCGTAATATGTGGTCGATACAAACACTTGTCAAGTAACGCAATGGGTGACTTTGCTTGTGGACACCAGCCCCGGCATCAGAGAGACACATGATATGATCAATCACTTTGCTTTAGCTCGAACACTCTATCTCGAGAGTTGTGCATAAGATTTTCGGAGACCAAAGTACTCATCTATCATTGTGTGAGGCGTATTCACGCTTTGATCACAGCTGCAGCCTCCTCTACGCCGTGATAACAGCACAACACAAATGTTGCTTAGTTTTTTTGCCGATTTATTCGAGACAACCGCAAAAACTGACGAATCGGCTCCTATGAGATGACGCTGTGCTGCTATACAACGCACCGCTGTCAAAAAGGTTAGCATCTCCAGGCTTCCTGATAGCGTGTCTTCACCTTGCCAGTGTATCTCGTTCTCATGTACCATCAGCCGCTCGTGAAAGTGCGTTCCGCACTTGACGGTACTTAGTGTGCCTGTTGTATGTAGGCTCGCATGTGTGCTTGCGTTGTTTGGATTGACTGATGTATCCTCATCACCAAGTTCTGTCGTGAGTTCGTATCCATTGGGAGTGATCCTGGCGAAACCCCACGACCAGGAAATTGCTCCTGGTACTCATTGGTATGGCTGACATGATGTATGAGCAGCGTGCGTGGCAGATGAAGCAGATTCTTCTCCTCTGTATTTTTCTTGCTGAGCTACGGACCGTGTACGTTGCGTGCGTGAAGTCGAGCATGACTGCTTGGCGAGCCATAGGTCATCCATTTGACCATGTTGTCGCGGTCAGATACAAGACGGATGTTGCTGAACTTTCCACGCTCAACGATGAAACATAAAGTTCGGACTTTGCAGTGTGATCACAAAACGTGCCACGTTTGCGCTACAAGAGCTATAAAACGATGCAACCCAACAGGTAGAACGGTAAGCCAAACGCTTGCAGTAGGATGATGCCATACTGCTCATTTTATTCATGGGTAAAGTAGCAATCCTTGGCAGCACATACAACTGCTACATCGTGTGCAGCATGATGTGACTGATTTGTTGATGAGCTGCAGCAAGTCGCACGCATCATTGATCTTGATCGAGTCACGTCGACTGGCTTACAATGCCACCGGCCGTCCCCCACTCGTACATCGACTATGTCGTTTACGCTGTGGATAGGAACGGGCACTGCGCCGTCATCATTAAAAGGTTGCGCCTCATGTTGTGCATCATACTGCATGGCTGGAGAACGTTGGCACATTGCATACACTACAGGAGAATGCAAGATTTAGCTGGAACGTCATCTGATCGATTAGCAACACGGCACGACGTAGCGTCAACAAGGTACAAGAATCGACACGAGACAATGTGGACATGCTGGTAACTTGACAAGTTGGGTGCCGTATCGATACTATGCATATACCAATTTGCTGCTACAACACCTTTCGTGCACTTGGCCTGTGAGGGGTTTGCATCGAACTCCAGTTTATCATTCCTTTCACATACCTAATTTGATGTATTTTTTTTATCAAATCTAATATACGCAACTGCGGGCTGCAAGTGTACAACGTACAGCAGTATGATTGTTGCGACATCACATCTTATGCACATGCGTAGTGCACACGCTTGCAAACGTACACGACTTCATTTTTGTACAGACAAAAGCACCACCGTAGCTCTGTGCCACGACTACGGCAAACTCACTTCACCTTCGCATAAATGCAGAAGTTGTCGTAATTTCTGTTACGTTATTGTAAATTGAACTGACGCACGTCTCCATAAAGTATTGGTTGGTGGCCTGTGCAAAACGCTGGGCCCTCAGCATAGTAAACGCTAGAGTCACCGTCGATACATGCAGGACTATGCTTGATTTTACTACCGGCAAAAGGCTGAGCCAGCGCGGGCGTTCGACATCGTGTCCACGTTATCTATCTAGGGCCACATTGAGTCGCAAATCAGCTTCGACCGATACGAGAAGTAATTACATAGATCATTGATGACAGTGGGAACATATCGACGAAGCTGTTGATCACCTTTGAACTTCTGTATGCTATTCGGATGTAATACACATTACGCTGCGATCCTGAGCAGCGGTGGATGGCTCGTAATGAGTAGTTGGCTCGACCTGATGCACAATAAAGCGTCATTGAATGGTGCCTCATGGAACGCATGGTAATTACACATGAGAGTTTGGGGGAGACACGATAGCAACACACTGGTAGCCGTGGCAATGTCCGTGTCAAAGTGCGGAGTCAAGATGAAGCAAGGAGCTTCAGGGCCACTGGACTTCTAAACAAGTCGATTGCGCATGTTCCTTACCGACATACACAACGGTCCACAAGCGATGGTCAGAACGCAATGCGCGTCACAACACAAAGACGGATCTGTAGAGGCGATCCAGAGTCCATCCTCGATGTACCAGAAGCCATACCGCTTGACGTCATCATCAAGCGCATATTGATGGAGAAATGTCATGAGGGAATGGGCAGCTGTGCGCACACCACAACTTGATAGTAGCAACCCAGCTCTAACAACGAATTGTTATAGCAACCCAAGCGTTATGGCATATTCAGCAACACAACGTGTACGGCGCTCGCCAGTTTCCCAACAAAGCTAGGCAGCAGCCTTGCGTCACATATACTAACGTTTGATGTGCACAAGTAAGCTTATCACAAGTTGGATGACATGCAATCGATCCATTGTAGCAGTGAGCTCTACACGCTCAATTGCATCGATATGTTGGGATCTCGAGGGAATAGCACACATCAACAAAACTACAACATGTCTGCAAGGCGACGGTCTTTCTTTCCATTACGGACGGGCACTCCGATCACCCATTTGCGGTCACCACAAAGCCTTCACGTCCAACATGTCATACACAATGTAATAACGTGTGAAAGCGCTCGAAACACTGAGAAGCACGCGCAACATTGATGAAAGTCGTCGACATGGGCTCAGAGCGTTGATCCGCTTTAGTTTTACTGCTACAAGCTACAAAAAAATCACGACATGTACGTAGCAATTTACAAAAGACCGAATAAAAAAAACCTGAGTACCACCACCACCAGCAATACCACCAATAACAAGATACAAAAAGTCTCCTCTCATTATTTCTTCGTTCAATGCCGCTTTTCCGATAAACCGATTCGTGCCATACCGGTACTACCTCTCTCGGTCGGTCGTCCTGCGCCTGCTTCAGCAACCTTCGCGCAACACACGCTCCACCTCCATCCCACCCCGACGCACGACAACATGCGTGCAGCGTGTTTCGCCTCCCACGCCCTATCGCGACGCGTCTACACGTCCACGATCGATCCACGGACGTACGTAGCCATTGCGTCCATGTCCACTGCCGCCACAGCGTCTGCCCAACGACGCACAAAGCCCCGGAAGAAGCAGTCGCGCGTGGCGCAGGTGCCGGTCTTTTGGCCAATCACAGGCGTCTCGGAGCCGCCGCTTCTACGTCCGCACGAGATCGATCGCGTAAACCGGCTGTTTCGCGTAGAAAGTACAGTCATCACCACAACGTCGGACCCGACCGAGTTGCCCCAGTGGGACGTGCCGGAGATCGCCTTTGCCGGTCGCTCGAACGCTGGCAAATCGTCGCTCATCAACGCGCTTTGTGGCCAAAAAGCGCTCGCGCGGACGTCGAAAGTGCCGGGACGGACGCAGCAGCTGCACTTTGTCAGTGTTGGCGGCAAAAAGGGCAGTTTGCCCGACTTGTCGCTGGTCGATATGCCAGGGTTTGGGTTTGCCACGGCGCCGAAACAAGTGGTGGACCAATGGCACGCGCTCGTGGGCGGCTACGTGGACAAGAGACGGGGCACCACCCTCAAGACCATTATGCTGTTGATTGATGCCCGTCGCGGGTTGGGCACGGCCGACCACGAGTTTATGGACTTTCTGCACGACTTGGGCGCGCTGTACCAGGTGGTGTTTACCAAAGCAGACGCAGTGACTCGACCGGCGCTCGAGACGCAGATTCAAAAGGCAATGGACGTGGCGTTGAGTGCAGAGCGGATGGTAAGGAAACGGTGGACGATATTGGCAGTGCTGTTGATGTGATAAAAGCTGCTGTTGTTGTTGTTGTTGTTGCTGCTGCTGCTGTTGTTGCTGTTGTTGTTGTTGTTGTTGTTGTTTGTAAGAGAGGAGAGACTGATGGTATGGGTGTTGTGTGGGTGTTGTGTTTTGATGTCGTGTGGTAGAGCATGAACCCGATTATACAGGTCACGAGTGTGAAGGAAGGACTTGGGATCAAGGAGCTGCAGCGTCAACTTGTGAGCATGACAGGGCTGCTGACGTCGTTGTAATGGGGTTCGACGAGGTAGCACGAGCAATAGCAGACGGCGTTAGCAGTGGGCTTGCTGGCTGAGGCGTTGAGTACGCTTGGGTTCAGCTTGTCCGACTGTGTAGAAAGGTTTCCTGACGGCTCGAAGAACGTTGGTAGAAGTAAGTGATACTTTCACCGCTCATGCTGCCACGATGCGTTCGCGAGCCTAAGAGAATGTGGTTTCGTTATGGCATCTTGATCCAGTTTGGGGATCCCATACAAACGACCCAAACACCATAACGATCCATGCAGCTTGTACTTATCTCGCCCTCGAGGTGATACACATATGGTTGCACCGAATTGCAAAACGCTCCTCCTACGGCTTCTGCTGATCACCTACGGCTTCTGCTCCTCGGATGTCAACCGAAAGACATTACCGAGTCCACAGTTACGGTGCCACCGGCGTAAACGCCTTGCGCGGCGGATTCAGGGGCGCCGTAATGTGCTTTTTCGACTGGGGCACCGACTGCTTGGCCGTCACCATTTGCTCCATCTTTTCCCGCACACGGCGCGCATAGTGCTCGTCCACGTCGTTAAAGTTCTTCAGCGCACGTTCCTGCACTGGTTTCGAGGCGTTCACGAGCGAAGTGGCAATGTTGTCCGTCAAACGCTCACGAGCGTCTTCGTCCAGCACCTTGCGGTAAAACACCCGTACTTGCGACAGGTTGTCATCGTAAGCCGACGAGTACTTGTCCACTACCGAATGCTCCCCATCGTACGTGTGGTAGCGTAGCGACTCGTCTTCGACCGGTCCGCCCAAGCTGTTGGGGAAGTACGTGGGTGCCCCATTCAGGTTCCCATTCACCACAAACAACCCATCGCGCTGGTACGTTTGCGGCTCCTTCCGCGGTCGATTCACTGGAATCTGCTGGTAGTTCTTACCCAAGCGGTGACGCAGCGTATCCGGGTACGAAAACAGTCGTCCTTGCAGCATCTTGTCCGGTGACGGCGCGATTCCTGGCACCATGTGCGACGGCGAAAACGCAAGCTGCTCCACGTCGGCAAAGTAGTTGCGCGGGTTCTGGTTCAGCACGAGGCGGCCCACCTCTTGCAGTGGAAAGTCCCCATGCGGCCACACTTTCGTCACGTCAAACGCAAGAAACTTGTGCTCCTTGGCTTGTTCCAAGGTCATGGTCTGGATGTACAACGTCCACGTGGGAAACTCGCCGCCTTCAATGGCTTCAAACAAGTCGCGATTCGCATAGTCGGGGTCAGCGCCAGCCAAGAACGCCGCTTCGTCCACCGGCATGTTGCGAATGCCCTGGTCCGTCTTGAAATGGTACTTGACGTACGTCGTGTCACCCGCTTCGTTGACATTGGCAAACGTGTTGCTGCCATAGCCATTCATAAAGCGATAGCCGTTTGGAATGCCGCGATCCGTAAAGAGCCACGTTTGCATGTGCAGGGACTCGGGCCGCAGAGAGAAGAAATCCCACACCATATTGGCATCTTTCAAGTGCGACACGGGCAATCGCTTCTGCGAGTGAATAAAGCTCGGGAACAGGATGGGGTCGCGGATGAAGAAAATGGGCGTGTTGTTGCACACGAGGTCCCAGTTCCCCTGCTCCGTGTAAAACTTCAGCGCAAACCCACGTGGGTCCCGCATCGTGTCGGGACTGCCCGACTCGGCCGTCACGATGGAAAAACGAGCTGCTACGGGCGTGCGCTTGCCAACTTTCGAAAACATGTCGGCACGCGTGTACTCCGTGATCTCGGGATGCGTCACTTCAAAGTACCCAAACGCTCCACCACCTTTGGCATGCACCACGCGTTCCGGAATCCGTTCGCGGTCGAAATGGGACAGGTGGTCGATCAACTCAAAGTCTTGCAGCAAGAGGGGCCCTGTTGCTCCAGCAGTGGCAGATGCCGTGAGGCCGTAGCGAGGCATGGGGGCGCCATTGCTCGTGGTACAAATGGGTGGGGCCATGACGTTGGTGCTTTCTTGCCAATGCAAAACTGAGCTCTGTCACAGTGTGAGCGCAGACGATGAGGAGAGGTGATGGAGTGAGTACACTGCGACAACCCCAAGCACGCAACGGTCAATCGAAGAAAGCATCGGAAGCGACGAGGACATTCTCTTGCCATTTCTCATCAGTTTCTTCGTGGCTGCCATTTGCATTGCTAACGGGATGGAGGGTACGCCAGAACCGTTAGTTTCGCAACTTGAAGTGAAGAAGTGAAGGATCTTCCGTAGGTAAGAGAGCAAGACTGGCATCCTGGAGGATTGCAAGTACTCTATCGACGATGCAGGCCGAGTCTCTCGTTCCCTGTTGTACAATACAAACGAGCTGCTGTTCTCGCTTTCCATCATGATCATTGCTGTAACGCAGCGACGAAGAGTCTCGCAACACGTAGAGCTAGCGCAGAACATGGCGATTGATTGTGATAGTTATTGTGAAGATACACCAGCAAAAACGTGCAGTTGTAGCAGCAGCAGCAGCGCACATGTAATGTCGACAAAGTGGCTGCAACAACCATACTAACGCAAAAGCCTTTCCATTGATCAACTGGAGTTAACTACTGCCGAAGCAGGCAAACAACGCATCGGAGCAATACATTCAGAGTCAAGGCCAACGACGCGGAGCAGCAACAACCCCGCCGCTCACAACGCGCTTGCGAGCAACCACAATCTCGTCACCGTCGTCATCGTCATCATCGCCGTCATCGTCGTCGTCGCCGTCGCCATAACCCTGTTCAAGCCCGTCCTTCATGTCTTCACTCTCGACCTCGTCACCACGTAGCGCTAGTATTGACATTGACATCACCATCCGTTCGTGATTCCAATGTACACGTCGTGTTATACCGCTCAACCCACTGGCACTACTACGCACCACGATACAGCCGACCGCGGCGTCGAGGAGCAGCCACAACGCCTCTGCTCACGACACGTTTTTTCGCGACCACGAACTCGTTGTCTCCAGTCGTTGCATCACTCGACACTGCAACAACCATCTCCGTTGATATCAAGCCTTGCAAGAATCGACTTGCTGTATGCATGCACTGCTGCTACCACCAACCTTCGTTTCGATCAACGGTTTCTGAGTGCACCGTGGCAAACAGGAATGCCGCAACGCCAAAGTAGAGGATATTCATTCGTGTCGCTGGTCCGTGGAAACTCGAGATGTGAGCAAGTGTTTGCCGACGCTGTTTGCTTCCAGTTTCGCTGGAGCCGTTTCCCCTTTAGGCGAAAGTTCGGTGGTAAGTACCCGTCACTCATCCGGTAAAGCCCATGCAATCCAAGAAATCGGAAAAGAGGATTCAACGGTATCGACAACGGTGATGTAGACGTCCCAAGGAAAGGGTGACATATATTGTGTGCGATTTGACGACTAGTGCTGGCTAGTCAACAAACGTTGTCGCGGTCGGTAGAGAAGGATGTGGCCAAAGACCATGTTGGAGATTGGAGCCATCGTGTACAGAGATGCGATCGAGTACCTGGACCAAGTGTTTGATTGTTGTCGTAACGAATGATGAGTTCTGGGTGAGACGTCTTCGACTTACTCTTGAAACTGTTACTCCTTAGATCGGCAACTAATTCGAACTCGTGGAGGTACATATTGGCATTCTCGTAGACTCTTACTAATTGTTGGCACTAGCGCGCAAATGTTGTAGTATCGGGTACTATAACACGAGGAATGTATCTTCCATATCTATGAAGAAAGAGAGACTGGTTTACATCTTGATCAGATTTACAAACTCATGAGCATATCGGCGCACGTCTACGTGGAGCTACTCTTAGCAGAGGGCACTGAGGTTTGGGGATAATGACATAAAGGCACTGGGAACTGTTCCGCAGGGTGTGGAGCTGGAGCCTCGCACAAACTTGCGATCGGCAACATCGGTTACGATGGCCTCGTGTGTCGACAAACAAGCACATGGTAAGCTTTGCAAAGTTGACTGTGGTATTGCAGACGGCAGGTAACTCGACATATGAAGCTATACATCGCGTAACCTTGCCGAGCAGGTTGCTACTCGAGTGCGATTTGATCTCATCGAACACGGATAACTCGAGTGGCGTCAATCTGATCGAAGGGAATTGATACTTGATCAAGGTTTATGAAGGAAAGTGACGATAGGTTGTCGACGAGAACGCAGGTAATACAACCGCATACGGACATTAGATCACAATCAGTACATTTGCTTACCGTAGCAAAGCTAGTGGTCGCACTGGCAATGCTGAAAGAAAGACGACTCGAATGCAATGGAAAGAACGCAGGTAATACAACCGCATACGGACGTTAGATCACAATCAGTTTATTTGCTTACCGTAGCAAAGCTAGTGGTCGCACTGGCAATGCTGAAAGAAAGACGACTCGAATGCAATGGAAAGAACGCAGGTAATACAACCGCATACGGACGTTAGATCACAATCAGTTTATTTGCTAACCGTAGCAAAGCTAGTGGTCGCACCGGCAATGCTGAAAGAAAGACGACTCGAATGCAATGGAAAGAGCTTGGTATTTTGACAGTGTTGATATGAGGCGCGACTATGCGGGATATCGGAATGCTAGCAAGAACGAGGCAGGTAAATGCTTAACTGCTGCGGTAATTTGGCAGCGGTATGGCTGATTGGTAGTGATGCACATGGCCACTCGCAAGACCAAAAACTTGCAAGTAATCCAGTCAACGGCGAGCATTGAGGTGACCATTGCAGATGGAAAGAAACTTCAAGTGGCTCATTCTAGGCCAGTGCATCTAACGACAATCAAGGGCAACGGTATTCGAACCGTGAACGTCCCGCATACCATCGGTCTCGTCCAACGGCTTACGTAGGTTGGCTAGTTTGCAGAGCGTGACATGATCGTACAGTGAAAGCGTATCACATGCTTTGGGTGGTGCCGTGTGTTGATTAAATTACCTCCAGATCAACTATTGGCAAAGCCTTAATGCTGGAATGCCGGCAGAATACGGGAAGCACGCAGAGTTCTCGGAAAATGACAGAGAGTGTGATCTTTGCACGCCCGCGAGGGAACTCACATGGACTTCACTTCTAGATATACAAAGCGCAACAACGGGGATACCTGCAACGATGAGGCGAGTCATGTGTTTTGTGCACGTTGCACGAAGTGAAAGTAGTCCTTCGCATATTTATGTCTTGGTCGCAGCCACATACACACACTTTTTGCAAATGATTAATACGGATGTGACGGCTACTGTAAGTAGAGTCGGACAATATAGTGAGGTATGTGCTCACGTTCATAGCCGACTTCTTGCAGTTAGCTATTTCGTATACCCTGCACAACATATTGAGCTCGCAGCTGGAGAAATGATTTCAT